AAGTAGAGTTAGACTGTACTTTGGATAGTCAAGAAATGCAGTTTGGGTAATAACTTATTCAAATCAACTTCAAAACTATAATGGGGCATAAGCAGACAAGGTTTTTTTGGGTAAATGTGATATCTTTTATTTTCCTACCTAATCCTGCTGCATTTCAAGACGGACACAAACCATCGGTGTCTAGTACTTTTCCACCTGTCTTTACTCTACCCACACACATTTCATTCTTCAAAATGAAAAGGAATTGTGCGTGAGTACTCAACAAATATGCACATGCCATACAAACTAGTGGCATGTTGCCTCGCTCACTTGCTTTGTGTGACCTCAGTGAAAACGCTACATAAAACGAAATAGAGGGAGGCTAAAAATTTTCCTGATGTTACACAATGTCAGAAGCAAAGCTGGTAACAAAACTGAAGTCTTTACTATTATTGCTTTGCTCCAGATGTAAGACAACATTCCCACTGGGATGAACAGTCTTCTTCTAAAGCATACATCTATTTTCTCCTTTACGGACTACTACAGTACAAATATAACTGCAACAGATGAACCAGTCAGAGCACATTGACAATTTGTCATGTAGACAATAACTGTGTTCCATAAACTAACATCCCAAACAGGAGTAAAGCTTTGGAATATGATACAGCAATTGTCCACAAGGCTGGCAACAACCAAGCTATAATCAGGCTCCTTGATCTCACTGGTTTTGTAGCCTCACTGTTTCCCTGTTGGTTTTGACATGCTTTTCTTAAAGTCCAGTTGTTGTACTCCTGTGCCTTCAACAACACACTTGTTTTCATATTCCAAGCCAAATTATTGTGGAGAAGCAACACGACTACACTAAGTTTTTTAAAGGGATGGATCTTTTACATGCATGTAATCCTATAATGCAGAAAATAAGATGCCTAGTGAATCTAAGGGCAAATCATTTTGATCAAACGAAAACTCAGGGCACTTTTACACATGCTGTGGGGGTGGTGGGGGGCAAGGGGGAGCACTTTAATTAGAGTGGTCCGAGAGCTGCTCTAATTAAACAGTCCCAGTGTCTCATGTATTAGTGTCCCTACACTTCAAAATTGTGTGGGGGTGCTTGAACTAAAACTTGTTTGATGAGCAAGTGCCCCTGCTGCCATTTTGAAGTGCAGGGATGCTAATACATAAGATGTGGAGGCTGGCTGGAGTGTGGTAATTACCAGGAGCACAGTAATTAATCGAGTCTGCTCTGATGTGCTGTAATTACAGCATATTGGAGCAGCGCCATAGCATGTCTACAGGCACTCTTTGCTCACATCCTCAGCTGACCTAAATGGGTTTAGCCCTCATGAAACCAATGGAGCAACATGGATTTATGCTGCTGTGGTCCAGCTCAGAATGTGCACTAAAGGCCAGCTGAAAGGAAAGAAAAACTGAACGTAGCCTAACAACTTCTTTTAGCTGGGCAACCCCTCTTTCTGCATTGAACTGCCTTCTGGGCTGCAGGGTTGTTGGTTGGAGTCGTGCTGGTCTAAGGACATAGGCAAGAAAGGTTCTCTGGGTAGATGTAATCTCTTTTATTAGACCAACTAATAACAACAAGCCAGAATATTTAGAGAGGCTTGGGTATGTTTTGAGCCTTTTCTCATGAAGCAGAGACTTCTGTCTTTTTCAAATTGATTTCCTGTTACTGGAGAGGAAAAAGTATAGATAATGATCAGGACAGACAAAGCACAAGTGAGCAGCTGTTAGGATAATTAAAACTATTTAACGTTTCTATTCTTTTATTCATCAGTCTGGTCTCTAAGAGAACTTTTGTTAAAGAGAGACATTCACAAAGAATATTAGGCATACATACATTTTTTTTTCATTCTAATTTGCATGCTGTCACTTTGAGAGGGGGAGATTTCTGTTTCATTTCCTCTAGGGTGGGATACCAAATCTGATGAACAGTGTTTCGTGTGACGTGTTTTGGAAAGCAGAACCTAAGTCTCATCATGCCTGCTGCACAATAGAGGATAAACTGAGGGAGGAACCATATTAAAAGCTACTGCTTATCAGACTGAAAAGTAGCTTCATATTTCAGTAGAGAGCCTGGAAATTAGATGCATCTGCCATTAAAAAGAGATGCTGTTCTGATTAAAATGTAGTGACTGAATAGACTGACTTCTAAAATGAACTCTTAGCACTACAATAAATTTACAAATAAACATCCCCCACTCTTTGGCAGTCTTAGTCAAATATTGCTAAAAGCCACCTTTTATATACACCATACTACCTGTAGGGAAAAAAAAATGTTGCCCTACCTTTTAAGTGGCAACTGCCATGGAAAGACAAATATGTGCAATAAAACAAAGTTACAATGCATGTGGTAGGCAGAATACTCATGTTCTGACTTAAATTGTGCATTCTTGTAAAGGTTATTTCTCATAGTAAAGGTTGTTTCTAAGGTCAACTAAATATGGAATAAGGGGTATTTGAATTAATACAAAAGAAACAAATCAGAAGGTTGATTGCTAGTAAAGGCTGTATTTACACCAAGGCTGTATTGACCACCTGAGATCCCTTCCAGCCCTCATTTTCTATGATTCTTAATTTGATTTTTCACCATTCTGCCCATGCCAGAACCTCTTTGGACTTTCCCAGCTCATTTCCTAGGAAATTTACCTCACTAATATTTACCTCACTAATTCCAAGACTCATAATTTTGGAATCCACCTTGCCCTCACTGAAATCAATGGGAATTTTGCTCTTAACATCCATGGAAGCAGGAGCAGACTATTTTAGAAACATCATGGGTACCTCCCTGCCCCTTCTGCCAAAACAGCCAGCAATGCAAAGAATCACACGTTCAAACTGAGTAAATGATTAAAATAGATGACTCGAAGAATATGCATTATGCTTCTTTAATTATTTTAGTACATTTTAGAGCCAGAATAGAGTTTTGTGATCAGTAGCATTCACTCTGATGTAATTGAGGTTTGTCTCATATAGGAAGATGTATATAGTCCTTTGCCAATTGCTCACATATGATACGTGCCATTTTAACAGTGCATTTGGTCAATACAGACTCTCTTGCGGGTACCTGTGAACTTCTTCATGAATCATGTATGAATTTTTGGCACAAAGAGGAACAGGTGCAGTCACCTGAAGTCATAATAGAGGTCTCCCAGTGCCAGCACTGAAAATCAGAGAGGAGAACTCTTTTGGAACAGAGATGGGGCTTGCAGGCTTATTCAAGACGCTCATATTAGCTTGCTGCTTTGAAATCCCTGGGCTTCTGAAGGAGTCCATTGGAAGCCTAATCCCCACAGCATTTTAGCAAGTGGGCTCCAAATTAGGCAGCCATTCAGTGTTTGAGAACAGAACAAGTGTTGGCCTGCAGTATCATGTCCACTGTTTCAGACTACTTAGCTACCTTGCTTCCAGGAAATACACTATTAGTAATGTAACTGTTGGTGAGATTTTCAGTAACTAAATTACAGGGTGAAGAAGGGAGTGTTTTATTCATCCTGAGTCAGAAAAGTCATCAAAGTATTGAAGTTTTTCACTACCTTCCTCTCACTCATGAAGCTACCCTCCCAGCTGGCCAAAGGAAATGAACACAGCTCTAATGAACCGCCTATGAAGAGATACAGAAGTTTGGAAACCAGATGATTAAGGAAATAGACACTGTCTTCATATTTAAGACACTGGATATATCTATCCAGGTCAGTAATAGCTAGAGGTTGTTTCCATGTGCATGCTCATGGGTGCGTGCACATGGAAGGAGCCGATGATCTCAGTTTAGTTATTTATGGACAGATGTCACCATCACAGAGCCAAGCACTATAAATGATAAGCTTGCTGCTAGCTTAACCAGCAGCCCAAAGACTTGAGTGGGTGGGGGACAGCTATCCGCTTGCCCTTCTCAGCCAGGGATGAGGCACTTTATTTGGAAAATCTGCATTGTAGTGACACGTAGGGTAAGGAAAAGCAAAAGGACCCCAGTTTCTCAGGTAGTGAATATGCCTCCCTCACAAAAACTACATTCAGTTAGAAAGCAAAAACACTGTTGCTGCCAGCAACAGCACAATCTAAGGGCCTTGTTACACCTTACATGATAAGCAGTACAAATGGTGATCAGTGTTATTGCCAGCTGGAGTTTGGAGCAGTCACCTATACAGGCCAGCAGAGGCTTGGAGGACTGAAAGGTAAGAATTGCACCCCTCCTGTTGTGGGCTTCCCCCCTGCTCCCTGCCCCCTTTTCCCAGGGCTCGCCTCTTCCCCCCCATCCCAGGGGGTTCCTCCCACTGCCCCCCACACTTACTTGTGGCTGCCCACACTGTCTGTCTCAGGGGATAGGGCAGGGGAGGGTTAACCTACCTGCCCAGCCCTCTTGCCCTTGCCGCTACGAGGCTGCTGCTCACGTCTGGATTAAGCCTGCCCAAAGAGCAGCATTGGTGGCCAGGCAGACAGATTAACCCTTCATTGCCTGCTCCCCCAGGACAGACAGTGTGAGTAGGCACAAGTAAGTGGCAGGGAAGCGGGGGGAGGGCAATGAGCAGGAACCTGGGGTGTTGGGGATGGTGTGGCTGAGCAGTGGGTTATTTACATTACAGGTAGCCTAGACTGGCTACACCTTAGTTTAACATAAGCTGGATAACATGGATCAGAGACAAACCTGCCTTGGAGTGGCATACCTCTGAGTTGCATAACAAGTGCATAACACTAGTTTCAGGTGTTAATGTTGGGGACAATCCAGGTGTTAGCTCCAGGAGGTGCCCAAAATTGCTGTGTAACAAGGCCCTAAGAACACGGATGTTATATTCTCATTTGATTTATCTTGACATGCTGAAGTCACAGGCCTGCTTTTTATTAAAAATGATTAACATACCAATTGGAACCAAATATTAAAAGGAAAAGAAAAGTGTGATTTTCTTCAACGGGATAAACAAAAGTTGTGGTCAAGTAGAGATTTGCAACAGTAGAGGACCTGGCTAAATAGGCAGTAGTGCACGTCAGATTAATCTCAAAGTACCATTATATTGTTTTGAGGCTTTCCAAGAGAAGCGGTTCTTCTTTTATCCCCTAGTCTCAAACAGGATTAAAGACTCTTCCACTCAGCTGAGAGTGAGAGATAGATGATAATCCTAGAAGCAGAGCAGTGCTAAGCACAAGAGGAGCAAAGTTAGTTTCCCATCCAACTGGAACCTCACCTCTGTAAAGTTACCTGAGAAAAAAGTCACTGATTTTTTTAAAAACTGGCCATGTTTACATGCTGAGTCCAAATCCATACCCCGAAGAAATCAGTGGGTTTGATATTACGTTCGCTAGTGATTCGGCAAGCCCAGTTTGTGATGCAAAGGACTTTAGGTTTAACTTGTTAAACCAGACTCTCCAACTTTGTCGTCTTGTCTGGCAAACTGCGTTTATAAACGAGGAAGAAACAATGAGACTTAGAAATACAAAGAAAAGTTGAAATGCTCTAATATTTCTTCTCTAACTTTTTTTTTTAAATCTCCTTTCACTTTACAGCATCAACTAGCATAATTGAACATACAAAGCAAAAAGGAAGAGAGAAATTAAAAGAACAGCACTGCTCAGTTCATGAGATTACAGTTCATTTGAATTTCAAATAAGTCTTCCTTGCAAGCAGGTACTGTAGGAGTGGGTTAAAGCTGTGCATGCCAAAACTGTAAATATATAAGGTTATGTGAATCCAAAAATGCCACAGGCATAAATCCTTTCCACAAGAAACTCTTGGTATTGGTTCTGTTTAAATGCACAGTAAATGCCCTGCAATACATTCATATCTACATTCTGTTCCACTGCACAACTACCCATAAGGCCCTACGTCTCGTTCAAACCAGATCACTGGAGAACCCTGTTCCTCTGCAGTGGGGAAGCCAAAGCCATTTTATTGCCATCAAAGATGATATTAGCTATTCAGGCTACTGCTAACCATTACTGCAAACTGACTGCCTCCTTCACAGCGACAAGCTGAAATTCAGCTGGTTTGAGAGACTGTGTTCCCTGAAGTGCTAGATATTGCCTTTGCCATCTTTAAAATTACCTTACAAAGAACGAAATTAGTCAGGCCAATCTGTATATATTAAATAGTAACATTGTGTGGCTGTTGCACTCTGAGCAGAGTTGTCCAAGCCTCTTGTTGCTTTACTTTACTGCCTGTGAGAATGCTGCTACAGAGGCCTTCTTCACAAAGGGATTTAAACCAGAGATTTAAAGAACAAACCAAATTGGTATGCCAAGGACAGAAAAAAGTATTACGTGAAGTCTGTTGGATCAAATGCATTCACTAGAACTGTACTAATTTCTGCGACAGCCTATTAAAAAAAGAAACAGAAGCAAACAAACAGTAAAGTTTGGCTCTAATTCCCTACTACAATGCTTATGCCTAAGTACAGTATACGCCAATATAATCACAGGTAGAGCTGAATTTAAGTTGGCATGTGACCTCAGGTCAGCAGTGTCATAGCCAAAGATACAGAAAACAGACTAGGTCTACACACTCGAACAGTATCATCCTCCTTCAGATTTGAACAACAAAACAAAATAAGCTTCCTGTGCTTTGTGATAAGCGTCTCTGCTAGAAAGAATAATAATAGTATTTTTACATTGCTGATAAGTACTGTACACAATCAACATTTTTAGGTGCCTGTGTCAAAGATGAACTCTTACAGTGTTGGCACAGGTTGGTGGCATTTTGAAAATTGACAGATATTAATAAGCGTCAATCCTCTTTTCCCTGCCCCCCCCAACACTTTGACCCCCCAATTCAAACAACACCAAATGTAACATTTTATGAACAAGACCTGGGGATTATGGCAACCTGTCTAGAATTGACCATGTGTGAAAGAAAAGAACACAGAAAATTGGACTTGTCTGCCGTTCTCAAGACAAAAATATCCACATTCTAAAGGGCTTTTAAAAAATGTAAAAAATTGGCCCTGTTATCATTATGGGAATTTAGAACACCTCTAAAACACACACAGAAAGACAGGTATTATTGACACATTTTAACCAATGCTGAGGCTCTAAAAGCTGCTCTTTGTTGTTGTTGTTTGGATACAGAAGGGGCAATTCATTGTAAATGAATATTAAAAGGTATTTTTCTTAAATGCTAGTGTGTTATTCTTCCCCCCCCAATCTCAACGGTTTTGTCTGTCACTTGCTTCTCCAGTTGTGCTGATCTTTTTACTGTAGATGTGCTCAAGAGTCCAAAGTAGAGTGTTTTCTTCTCACTGAAAGAGTCATCCCCAATCCCACCCCAGCCATAATGCCAACCCCCCTCGTCCCCATACACACACTTTTAGATAAGCCATTCCTTTTTGCTTTCATCAATAGTCTCCGTAAAGTTGGGGTCATTGTTCATGATGGCTGCATCGGCACTCTCGGCAGACTCCGCCCCTTTGGCCTCGTTAGTGTGGTAGGTCCCCTTGTGACGGAACATGTAGCGTATCAGGAACACAAGTGTGCAAAGGATGGTAAAGATCACAACAGCGATGACACCTAAGGGGGAGAGGGGAGTGTCAAAAGTGAAGAAAAAGGCAAGATTGTCACTTAAAACCCCCCAAAGATATTCTTATATTTATCCAGCTACAGAAAATCAAAAAATTACTTTTTGAGCAAAGTTATATTATTAAGAATATACTCTTTAATTCAACACTGCTTGCTACAAAGACAAGGTACCATTTTTATTTCTAGGAAATGTTGGAAGATAACAGTTTTATTTCTCAGAAAAATTGCATGGTGCACTTGGACTCTGTCATCCTCCCCCCATCATGTTGATAATTCGTGGAGCAAAAAACCAAACTTGGTCATCTGACTATTCCTTATTACAGGGCAGGGAAGGCGGCCGGGACACCTGCTCGTAAACCTAAATAAGGGTCCACATTGTGTGCTCTGTAATTTGATAAAGGGAAAAGCCTCTCACAAAAGTTATGGAGTTGGGAATGGTCCTGCTTTGAGCTGGGGGTTGGACTAGATGACCTCCTGAGGTCCCTGCCAACCCTAAATTTCTATGATTCTATAAAAAGCTAGTTTTGCTTAGATGCTAATTTAGCACCTGACACCATGAGCAAACCTATTAACTCAAGTGGGATCCATGAATGGTCAAGCAGAATATGCCCCTTAAACAGGGCAAGATTAACTTGATCTTTAGTCAAAGAGAGCACTGAACTCAACATGCAGCCTTTGGTTCTGAGAGCTTGATTTTCCCTCAGTGGGTCCTGAATTAGGCTTCTGTTAATTTGTCTGTACTAATTCACTGGACTAAATGACAAGAAATATTGCCAGTTGTACTAATATAGTTAGACCAGCATAACTCACCAAGTGGACTCTTCTATTACAGAATGAGAAAGGCTTTCCTTTGCCTTGGCTTGAACTGATTCCAGAATGACTAAATCAGAGGAGGATCATCTTATACCAAAATAATCCATCTTGGTTTAAATTCATACCTTACTTTGTGCTAGTGTAACTTTCCTATGTAGATGACCCCATAGTAAACCAGGCAGTTTGAATGGTTCTGCCATTACAGCCTACACTCAAGCCACAAATCATCTCAACTAACATTTACTTTTTCCTTACCTCCTATAATGGCCGAGTTCCTGTTAACTCCATCTCCTATAGCTTGGCCATTGTATGGGAAATCAGCACTGGCTGTAAAAAGGGAAGCAAAGATTCATGTTATAACACCGCCAATTAATGAAAATGTGTACATTGGCTTAAAACAGCAGTGTTCAATCCCTGGCCTTTGGGCCAGATCTGGCCTGTGGAGCCATGTCAACCAGCCTGAAGGGCTCTTCATTGGTCTGAAAATTTGGCAGTGGTGGAGCAATGTCGGTGTTAATTGCCACTCCCCTTCTGGCAAATGTCTGGAAACTTGGGGAACCCTATGGGTCAGGTAGTGAGGCCCGCCACCCTGTGCACTAGACTGGGCACATAGGGTGGAGTGAAGTGGTATCTGGGCATGCCATGCTGAATTTGGGTGGCATGAGGCAGGATCCAGACATGCGGTGACCTGGACCAATGTAGGAGCCAACCCCAACCTGTGGTTGGGCCCCACATCACTCATCTAGCCAGCAGGACCAAAAGGTAGATCACAACTGGTTTAAAAAATATATATACTTGCTTCAATCCCAGCATTCTTAAGTGAAAGTTTAAAGAAAGTTAACTGTTATCTTTATTTAGTATTTACAAAAAGAAGAAAAAAGATTTTCCCCTTCACCTGAGCCCAAATCTCTTTTTTCCTCTTTTCCACCCTATGTTGCTCATTCCAAAACCTAACTCAAGTAAGGGAGGCAATCCATCAGCATATATTAACCTATAGTTGAATAAGTGCATGGCATGTTCCCCTAACAAAAGCTTCCATGGCTTTACATTGACTCCCTAATGATAGAGGAAAATAGAACGCATTCAATGCAATTTCTGCTACTGACCGCTGCTGTCCGGTGGGGATTCCAGAGTTTGCAATCATTAGGGAATGCCATGTGATCCTTAGAGACTGTGTGCATAAAAAAAGTACTTTTGTGTTTTTTGGGTACACAGCCCAAGTTCAGCAAACGAGCAAGTCCTTTGTGGCAAAACCAAGCCACAGAACCAGTTCAGAAGGAGTGTAGCATATGAATGGGAGGTTCTTGTTTTTGGTATCCGTTGAATACCGTGAAGTATTTTCAGGAGGAATCTCTTGTATTTGATGTATTGTCAGAATTCTTTCATGTGGCCCATCACTGCAGTGTTGAACTGCTGTATCTAAGCTAACGCTGAAAGTTGTGCAAGGAGTTATACATATTTAATACTTTGTGAGTGAAATACGTATTGCTTCTAATGAGCCAACAAGATGTTTTGGGGAGGGTGGGGGTGGGGGGGCAGCACTGGAAGCTATTAAAGCTAATTTCAAATACTGAGTGATGGAGGTGGCGCTTTTTTTTCTTTGCTGTATTAGGTCGCCATTAGAAGCCATTTGTGTATTTACTGCTTCCAGTGACTTGTTAAAGGGTTTAAAATGGGTCTATTCAGGTGTCGGAGAAACAGAATAATGTGCCTTTTGTTTTGCAAGGCAGCCATACAAAAGTTAATAGCTCAGGCTCACTATATGGGCTAAAAAAAAGGTTTAGGGATTAGAGAAGTCTTCTCAAGGATGCCCTAGGATGGAAACAAACTACTCATGCTTGCTAGTTTATAAGCATCCTTGAACAGAAGCAAGAGGCCATTTCTTGGGTCTGGTTATGAGAGCCTATCTATCTGAAGCAAGTTGCTTGCTTGTCATTTGTCACTACCTGTGCTTCTGAACCAGGCCTGTTGGGCCTCTTGCAGATATAATGCTCTAAGAAAAATTCCAATTTCTGCTTCAAAGAGGGCAGTGACCCTAGGTGACCCTGAAACATCAGTTACAGGGACAGATTTTCAGATTGGTGGAGGAGGCAGTTGCTGGCAAAATGCAACAATAGAATTATCTTTATTATTGTGAGGAAGGAAACAAAAAGGAAAACCTGGTTGTAAACTAAAAGCTCTTTTATTTTTTTTTAAAAGCTGTCCATTTGCTTGGTTGGCGAAAACTGCCCTACCCACCATGCTACAGCAGGGTGCAGCAGAAACATAGGAGAGGACTGCTATCTTTTGAAGCTACTGAGATTTCTTGAGTAATTCTTCCTATGCTCTTTCAAAAAGGAACTAGGGAGAAATGATGGTGGTGGTTGCAGGGGTAGGCTGGGCTACACAGTGAACTCTCACTAGCAATTTGTATTGGAGATGGAGGCATTGCCAATGGTAGCGTAGGAAACTGCATGAAGAGTGACACGGACCCCAGCAGGATCCCTCCTGAGCTGCCACATCATCACAGCAGGCTCTTTAGGGCTGTGAAAAGAAGTCCATGGGGGCGGGGGAGGAGGACCATAGTTCATGATGATAAAAAGCCAGGGAGATGTGATGGGGGTAGTGAAGACAAAAGTAAGTTTGATAGGCTGGGAAGCTATTGGAAAAGGAGCCAGGTTTGAACATACATCTCTTTGCTGGCTGGAGCCAAGTCCAAAGGTTTACACTGCTAAAAATCAGCCGAATAAAACAAACCTCACCACAGTCAATGCGTTTTGTCTCCCTTCCCAAAAAGTGCCACACAGTTCATTAACAGACTGAATTAATTACTGCCTGTGCAATTGTTTCTGTGCCAGAAAAGGGATCCTTTTCTTATGTCACTGGGAGTTCTGACTGAGGGGAACCCCCGCCCTGAAAAAACCCCCTTATGACACTAGTTTACTAGGTAGTGTATGACACTACCAATAGCATGTGAGTGTGCAACAGCCTAACTAGGGTGGGGTGAGTGGGACATTAGTCCCAGGCACTAAGCTAGAGGGGACACCAGAGTGGCAGCGCCTGGGGACCCTGCATTATGGCAACAGCAGCTAGGGTGAAAAGTGTACTTCTTGCTCTCCAGTGCTCTGCCTAGGGCATTACAATTGCTAGTTACATGACTGGTGTCTGTATACTACTGAGGTTACTGAGGTGGATGGAGACAGCAGTAGAGAAAGGGAAGTGGAGAAAAACCAGCAAAACAGAACTTGTACTCACTTTCTAGGGGGAAAAAAAATCACATACGACTTCTAGACAGCAAGCAGAAGTGGAGTAGCAATGGGTGTGGGGGCAAGGGGAGAGGGAGGGAGGTTAAAAGGTACAAAATGAGGTTTCCTTTAGTAGGAATTAAGCAGAAGGAAGCATTCCAGAGAGGAGTGAAGGAGGAGAGCGAGGCCAGCCAAGTAAGAGTGGGCATTCTAGACAGTAAATGCCAGTCAAATATGCCTTTCTGGCACATCTCCTTTCAGCCTTTCAGAGTCACATTCCTCCAATACCTACTTCTTGCCATGGTAAGCTAACAGGCTTCTTGCCTTGGTCACTACCCAGTAATTATTCACCAAGGAAATAAAGGACATGCTGAATAATCTAGGCTTGCCATACCACTGTTAACACTTCTGCTGCAAGTGTGCAAGGATGCAGTGTGCTTTTCTGCTTCCTTGGATATAAACCAAGGTGCCTGAAAATTCCTGCCTCATGGCGACTATTAACAGATCAGCTAAAGATAATACCTAGAAACTCTGCAGTCTGAAACACAGTAGGATAATAAAGAGTCTGTGTGCAGTTGCATTACTTGTGAGTGTCTTCCCTCACTCTTGTTTCATTACAGTTGGGAAACACCCCTCATTTTTCAAATACTCTCATTAGTTCTGGGACCTTAATTTTACAATATATCCCAGTAAGGCCTTGCTCGCTGCCAGTTACTTGTACTATAGTAGCCTCAAATAATGACTTGCCCAGATCAAATAAGTGTCATGGAGCTGCAGTTATTATATGTAGCTATCCCCCAAAGCAAAAAGTAGTTTTCTTGTCCAGAGGGACTACAGCTGAATTGCTGCTGTAATACTGGACAAAGGGGAAAAATTAAGATGCCTCAGTTATTCACTGCCATTCTAGCCAGGCAAAGTCAGCTCAACTCCATCAAGAGGTTGACTACTTTTTGTTCTAAACGCTGCACATTGCCTAGGCATTGGCTGAGACTATAAGTTAAGGGCAACTAGTGACTTGGGTTGTGAAGGCTGGGCTTGGACTCTATACGAAAACAGACTAATTATTTAGGACTTCCTTCCTGAATTTCCTGTCCCCTTCTCTGGTTTTGAGCTGTCAAGTTCCCATCTGCATGAACTCACTGGGAAGCAAAAGGTAATCAACATAGCAAATACTTCTCCTGTGGAGGCATCCATCCTGGAAAAAAATTACAATTTGGGTTCAGAGATTCTGGGAAAAACTCACATAATGCAATTCCTATTCCAGGAATACTTCAGTAACCACATGCTGTACTTCACAAAGTCCTGTGCTTTGGCACTGGCAGCTGTGTCACTATTTTTGCTCTAAGGTGCCAATACCACCCAGTACCAAAAAATATGCCAATAACTATTGAGCCAAAATACAAGGCTGTTCTGTGTGTGACAACTGATAGGAGAAATTTGAACTCACATATATCCTATGGATGCAATGTCTCCCAATACAGTTGCACAATGAAGGGTAGACGGCACTGTTCTTTGTATCATTTCTTCTCATTTAGGGCTTTTGGTTTAGTTTTGGACTGGAACCTAAGCATAAATCATATTCTAGAGCAGGGTGTCTCACTTGAATGACTTGGCAAGCTGGATCTGAATGGAGGGACTTCTCACTGCAGCTGTTAGTGCTACCACAATTAATGAGTCTGCTGCTCAAACCCCATCACCAACTGCTGCCCATTTTAGGCACCAGAGACAAGTGAAAACACTAAATTCAGTGGCAACATTCCTCCCCTGCCATGGGTGCTGGCTGTGCCAATGAAGTGGCCTCAGTAGCTGCAGCAATGGGAGTTGAACAGTGGCAGCATTAACTCTGTTGGTGATGGCAGTTGCAGCCAAAAGGCCCACAGGCTGAAAGACTCAGCTCCATGTGCTGCATAGCACCCCTGACTCCTTGGCTGTCTCCTCCTCTCACAGCTGTACTGGCTGCGTTCAATTTCAGATCAGCTTCGATGAGTGCTGCAGAGTCAATCGAGGGAGAGCTTACTTTTCAGGGGTTGTGCAATCTTCTCAATTCTTTTATTGGCCTAAGCATTAACAGAGCGAGGTGGAATTAGCTGAACACATGGAGGC